ATACACCAGCGCACAGATTGCCTACATGCGTTGACATAAGTAAAACTTTAGGCTACTAAAACCTGGTAATTTTTTATCCATAATTAAAAAAAAAATAGTATAGTTGTAGTAATAGGTACATTTAATTTTTTTAAATCTGTGCAAAGGAACTTGACACTTCTATGATCTTATTATTTTGTATAGTATATATACAAGGAAGCCTTTTTTTGTAAATATTCTTAGCCACAATTTGTTTTTCTTTGATTCTAATATTAATTAGCATAGAATATCGCAACCAATAATGTATTGTGCTATTCTTCGGAGAAGTTAATTTCAATGATTTTAACATAAAACCAACAAATTGACTTGATTATGAACGAGTTTTCGTCAATTATCTCTATCGTAGTTGTCTTAATATTACAGAAAAAATTTCATTCTTCTAGGCAGTGCCGTCTTTGACCTATTTATTGGAGGCCCTCGGCACGGTAATCCTGGGCATATTAGAATAATGGGGCCCGTATGACTTCCGTTTGGTTATTTAAGAGGAACTAGGGCCTTTGTATTTGATCTGAGGGGGCCCACTATCGATCGCGGGGCCCTGGGCACTTGCCCAAAGTGCCCACTGGGAAAGACATCTGCTTCTAGGTGTTTAATGGGTCAGGCCGTAAATTTTGCCAAATTAGTTATAACATTAAAAAAAAAAAGTACGGTAATTACATTTTTTTCAATAACAGAATCATATTTCCTCACAAATGGTGAATCGCGATCAATAAATATATTTAAATACTAGCTGACCCAGCGAACTTCGTACCGCCCTAAAAAAAATAGGGGTTGTCCAGCGGACAAAATTGTGAATCTAAACCATTCTCAGATCCCCTTGAACACACACAAAAAATTTCATCAAAATCGGTCCAGTCGTTTAAGAGAAGTTCAGTGACATACACACTAACAGAAGAATTATATATATAAAGATCTTCAAAACCTTAGAAATTTATAAAATATTTTGCTACAAAAAGCGATGAATTTTTCGTAAAATGCGCTTATCCGTCCCGGTAGAGGTGCACTTTGAGCATCAGTAAAATCAAAAATAAAAATCTTTTTGATAGTCTGTTTGCTTTTACGCTATACAATAATAGTTAGCTAGCCACATTTTAAATATCGTTTCCTATTACCTAAGAAATTTCATAAATTTTCACTCATTTTCGAAAAACGTTAAAGTCCATTCCTTTGCGCTACTTTTTATTGCGCAACTAATAAATGCCCATTTGGTTGTGTTTAAAAAATAGCAGTATTCAAGTCTGAGTAGTGGCAACACCGAACATACTTTGTCTATGGTCAATACGCTGTCAGCGGTCATATTTTTTTCAGTCCAACATCAACATCGTTTGAAAGGAGGAAGTGTCATATTATTTGCGAAGAGTGTTTTTTGATATATCACGGTAAGTTTTTGATTTATATCTATACTTATTATTGCGCACGATTTAATGAAATGTTTGACATCTTTCAAGGCTTAATTTACATTAAAAAATAGCTTATTTATCAAGTTATAATGGGTTTTGTTTGCGCAAAAGTTGCGCAAAAATGACTTTATGCAACTTTGCGATACCAGGGGCGTAGAATTTGCGCTCCTAATTTTACGCTACCTAATAAAGGAGCTTACACACATAGGCTTGCAGGTGTTTTTTTAGCTTTTGTAATATTTGTGTTTTTTTTTGAGGTTTCGATTTTAGTTCCTGCAAAGGAATTGTATTTCTAGCAATAGAACTCTCCGCTTTTTTGTAACACCTTTTAAGACTTAAAGATAAGAGTAAAAGTTGACGTTTGTCATACTTACCTATTAAAAGTGTGTTTTATTTTGTAGCACTGTCCTTACGTTACATATCTTGTATGCACTCCTTAACAATTTTGCGTTACCATTTTGCGTCACTCTGCGCTATGGACTCGTAGAAATTTTTGCGACACCATTGCGCTATTTGTGGCAAAATCTACGGCCTGACCCTAATAGTAGATGTGTTATTCTAACATAAGTATACAAAACTATACAAATATAACATTTTGATTTATGCTCCTATTCATAATAATGTAATGGAACTAACTTTGTCTAAAGTTGAACACCGCACAGTTTTTATTAAATAATTATGGTATTTGAAGCTAAGAACCTAAAAATTAAGATTTGAACTAGACCTTGATTAATGTTGATTAGATTTACACCTTCTATTTTTTCTATTGCTCAAATATTGAAAAAAGTTGTGACTACAAAACATTTTGTTTGATTTTCGAATGGCAACCCTGTTAAATTTGCTTATTATAGATTTTTATGCAAAGCAGCGAATGTGCTGGTATAGCAAAAACATAATCAGGCAAAAAGGTGGTTCGTATACGTATTGCTGCACCATCACTTTAGTTTCTTTCTAGTTAAAATAAATGCGCATGGTGTTGACATCTTGCGGAAACATTTATAAAGTAAATAGTTTCTTTAATGGTCAAGAGATGACACCCTTAACAAAGGCTATGTGATTCAGCATTCTTCCACTAGATGTCACGCACAACATGCACAAAGTTTATCTACTTGGCGCTAGATGGCCGCACACCTTCATACGCATTCTACACATTTTACTTATAAAAAAAATATTGGGGTAGGACATCACGTAGTTTGGTGCTAAATAAGTTTCGTTATTTGTAAATACTATTATCTCGAAAGTATGTAACTACGGCCTTCATGTTATCACATACAAACTTACAGTATAAATGCGGATGTAGTGTCATCTTGCGGAACTATTTATATACTCTAAAGTTTCTTTATTGGTCACTAGATGGCACTGAACAATAACATTGTGATTTTATTCTACCTTTTCGCACTAGATGTCACGACATGCTTATTAGAAAATACCTACTCGATACTAGATGGCGGCACAGAGCCACATTTATATTTTATGTAGAAAAATAAAAGCGTGTGAAAACGCACTTTGTCAAATAAATGAAAAGCGTGACAAAACTATATAAGTTCTCAATAAATATATCCATAATGCACTTTTCCAATTTCTTTTCAGCACGTACATCACACGGAATGATTCCATATCGACGGCAACATTACATGCATAATAAACAGGCAATACACCTTGTTGGAGTGCTCAGCCTGGCGACAGCAGCGTCGCGCCCTGATCGCGGCGCTGGGAGGTGGAACCCTCTCAGCATGATAGAGGCCATGCTCCGTTGCGAGACGGCATGGGAGGCGGCTGCCTCCTGCGAGAACGTCGTCTCGCAGAAGGAGGCAGCCGAGAGAGAGAGGGAGGATGATCCTCTGGCCGATCCCTGCCGCCGAAGAAAAGCGGGTAGAACAGGGCGAGCGCGCACCATGGCTGCGCCCGTCCCATGACCCTGCCCGCGGGTATCCCTGGCTGGTCGGTACGGCGCATTGTGCCGTGACGGCAGCTCCCCTGTTGTAGTTCGGTCCTGCAAAGAGGGGGGCGGCGGAGGGAGCTACACGGGCACACCCAAGTAGCCCTCCGCAGCGGACGGGGGGCGGTACGGTGGGCACTAGGCCGCGTACTCAGGCCCCACGCGCGGGCCATCCTGCGCACGTCTGCGGGGTCCCCGCAATACCCCTGCCGCGGAGCCCCGGCTAGGCCGGGAGGCTGCTGGGTGCGGAAACGCGGAAGAATCCCTAAACGGGGATCCCGCGGCTTCGCACTTAGCAGCTTAGAGGGTATTCGCAGGGTTTTTTAGGGGATAGTACGCCTTTAAGCGTGCTCGTAAATGGCGCGGGTTACTTTGGGGGTTAGCCCCATCGTGCCCGTGACGTTTGCGAGTGCTGGGTGTGAGGTCCGTTCGTCGGTGTGCCTCTTATAGGCGCCGACGTCAGTAAATAGAGGTTTTGTCTGCGTAAAAAAAAGGCTCCACTATGCTATTCTTTACTTTTAATTTTTTGGCGGAATTGTGAAGGCACCGCCATGGGCGTAGACAGCCGCGGGCTCAGGGTTGGAGCAGCAGTCTAAGATAATACTTATGTAACTAGTAAAGTATACCTGCGCAGTCTTAACCCGGTTATTTTTTTCATACAAAAAGGTTACACCTGTAGCACCTTGTATCTGTATGTATAATTCGAATTATCCAAAACACTTTCTTATTGCTAACCTACCTACACCAAGAAATCTTTTATCAAACATGCGTCACTAACTTCAGTCGTTTCAGCTCTGGGCGTATGCTGTTAATCAGTCAATTAAGACTTTTATATCTATCAATAGATATTACTTTCAGTTATATTTATATAGTAAGTAAACAAATATACACAGGTATTATAAAGGTTGTTTATTTATTTAGGTATTAACTAACTTCCATAATATTACTATAAGATATCCGGCGTGGGTTCTCTCCGAATCTCCTTAGCACTTCGGCTTCCAATTAATTTTCCACTCACTCGCATTGTGTAACACATGACCGACCAAGGCATTTTCATCGCTTTTTTTTATGTCGACTGTCGACTGCGAACTTTCTTACAGATATATTATGTATTGTAGTTAAGCCATGATATTTTTTTTTTAAGTTTGGTTAGGTACCTTCCAGGCCCACGCACATGGGCACAACGAAAAGCCATAGAATAAAATAACAAGACTTAATTTATCCGAGGTTTTGTGCTCCAATAAAAATATTACCTTTTTATCTAAGATAATATGCATCCAGATTAATTGTTGAATAATATGGATTTCATAAGTAAACAACATATCGAAAAATGAAACAAAGTGTCTCCTAAAGCTTACATTTATTCTTATAATTATTCTTATATTAATGACAAGTCAACAAATAGTGTGTCTTTTTGAAAACATTTTTTTTATGTCTTGTTTGTTTACTTCTTTATAATTTTCCATTTATGTATGGACAGTTAAAATGACATACATATTTTATGTAGTTGATTTGGAACAATTTTATATTGACTTTGATCTAAGCTTAACTTACATAAAAAAATAATGTTTCTGTAAAAGGTTTTGGATAACCACAATTGAAAAATTATTGTTTCTAAATATAGACCTAAATAAAGTTAAAAGGCCAGTTTTTTCATCAATAAATACATGTGTTGATCAACTTCGAAGCCGTGTAAGTTGTTTGCGTCACCTTGTAGCCTCATTAGCAGACCACCGAAGGATACATAAGCTGCTAATCGTGAGGCTGGCTCCATTGCAGCTTCATCGCCTTCTATCCTGTAATTATAGTTAGGGTGGTAAGTTCTAAGATAAAAATTGTTGTCCACAACATTGAATTGACTATATCAGCAGTGGTATTTTTTTTTCACAAAAGAAAAACCTAACTCATTGCGAATGAGTAGCGCCATAAAAATAAAAACATATTCATAAAATAATATTTTCTAAATATCCTGCTATTTTAAAGTTACATAGTGCCTTTATTCTAGAATTAGATGTTGCTTAAGCGAATATCACTTGACCCACCACACATTTTTTGTCAAGCATCAAATCATACACCAAAAAGTAATAAATTTTAGTGAATAGAACTAACCTGTACACTTTGCCGGACATGACATATTCAAAACTATCAGCCCGATTTCCTTCAGTTTCTAAGGGGTTCCATTCTCCTCCATCGGGGTAACCATTCTCTCTGAGCGTCGTGGCAAGCACTAGTCGAAACTTATCCCCCAATTCCATTGGATAAATCCAAGAATTAATGTCTAAAATAAGATCCATTTTGAACGATTCGGATTCGCAATGTAAGCGACTCACACGGTCGAATTTCTTTCCTTCGGGGTCCATGTCTTTGACATTAAAAATGTCTTCAAATAATACACCTGCCATTATGTTTTTTATTAATAAAATACATGAATATTTAAAAATAACCACGATAATTTAAACTAAACACAAAACACGCCGCACGCTTCGCGTCTAGAGATGCAACGACTTGACTTTTCAAACCGGTTCAAACCGGTTTGAGCATGGACCGAGTTGAATCGGTTAACGTCTTTGTAAACCGGTTCTACTGTGGCATTCGTTCGTATCGCGCTGCGCGCACGCGCGCCTGTCAATTCTTGTTTATGCCGCCATCCACAAATCGCGTGCGGCTCCTGACGTGCTTTACCGACCCTAATAAAACTTGACCGACCAATACGAACCGACTTACAGCAGCGGATACGGTTAGCGCGCATCGACAATTTAAATACAACAGCCATAACCGACTTACCGACCGAACCGAAATGAAACGGACCCTGGTAGATTTGACTAACTTGACGGTGTAATTTTGTTTTCATTATTATGTAATATGCGACGTAATTGCCCAGCTTCTAAAAAAATAGACCAAATATTATTCCTAAATAGTTGTAAGAAAACTTTTTAATTGTTGTTTGTACCAAAGAAAGTTTCTACGACTCAAATGATTTTACAAAAATAAGTTACGTATTTATTATATTGTTGATTATTAAAATTGTATTTTATTCTCAAAGTTAAGAAGTACGATTTTATGTAATTAATAGAGTTTATATATTTTTTTTGTAATTTTTTAAACACGGTATTTGTTTATTTTTATTTTGACATTTTTAATTCTGATTATTATTATTTGTTTTCATATTTTAATTGTTATTTTTCAATTACCTTTAAATATTTGCACGATGTAATATCAATAAAATACGTAGAATTAAAAAAAATAGCACCTGTTGTTTCGTAAGTTTCATTCGTCAACTCATCAAACGGTTCAAACCGGTTCAAACCGCGGTTTACTGAAAATTCGGCGGTTCGGTTCGGAAACCGATTTGCATGTATTACTAACCGATCAAATCCGGTTTGTCAAAATTCAAGACCGTAACATCACTATTCGCGTCGTCCTTTTTTTTTTGTCATTGTCAATCTGTCATCATGACATTGATAGACATCAAAAACCTAAACTACCGTTTAACATGCGTTTTGTTACCAAAAACTTTTGTTGTCAGTGGAAAAGCAAAATCGTTTATACGCCAAACTTTTGTTGTCAGTGGAAAAGCAAAATCGTTTATACGCCAATTAACATTATATAAAAACCGAAATTAAGTTAATTTTTAAAGACTCGCAATAAGCGGGTTTGCTTTTCCAATGTCGAAATAACGATTTTCTACGTTTTTTCTTTATTGAAAATTAATTAATCTGAATTGGATCGATTATTTAATTTTGCTTGTTATTAGTAAATTATAACAATATTTTTTTTATTTAAAACGAATTAAAAAATTACAAAAGTGTACTTAGTGTTTAATATTAGAAACGTTTTGTTCATTCGCCTCGTGGAGAAAAATAAAAAAGTATGAAACGTTAAAATAGCAATATCAGGAAAATAACCTCCCCAACAATACGCGTCGGGCTCGATGCACGTGTTTTATCTTTGTTTGGTCGTTCCTAGTGTAATTTGCATTCAGTGCCCTATTTAGAAAGTCAAAACTGTTTGTTATAGTGCGCGGGCTTAACAGCTTGCGCAATTTGTGCAAAACGTCAACTAAATAAACAGCTATGACCGAAGTAACGCAACCCGGCGGCGACGTGCTCTTGGAGAAGAAGAAAAAGAAGAACAAGGATGGTGTAAGCTTAGGAACCTTTCAGAAGATCGGCGATTTCAAAATCGAGCCCTCGGAAAGTGTGACGAAGTTGGATACTGCGTATTGGCCATTGCTATTGAAAAATTTCGACCGTCTGAATGTGCGCACTAACCATTATACGCCACTGCCGTTCGGCCATTCGCCTCTGAAGAGGCCAATCACTGATTACATCAAGTCAGGATTCATCAACGTCGACAAACCGAGCAACCCCAGCTCTCACGAAGTCGTATCTTGGATAAAACGCATTCTGAAAGTGGAAAAAACTGGCCATTCGGGCACACTCGATCCGAAGGTAACAGGCTGTCTCATCGTGTGTATAGACAGAGCTACGAGGCTGGTGAAGTCCCAGCAAAACGCAGGTAAAGAATATGTGGCCGTTTTCAGTTTGCATTCAGCTGTAGAAAATGTTCAGAAAGTGACTCAAGGATTGGAGAAATTGAGAGGTGCTTTGTTCCAAAGACCTCCACTGATATCGGCAGTGAAACGTCAACTTCGCGTCCGTACAGTGTATGATAGCAAATTGTTGGACTTTGATGCAGAGCGTAACATCGGTGTGTTCTGGGTGAGCTGCGAGGCAGGGTCGTATATCCGTACAATGTGCGTTCACTTAGGATTAATGCTTGCTGTGGGAGGCCAGATGATTGAGCTTAGACGTGTTCGATCTGGAATTCAAGGTGAAAAGGAGGGTATGGTAACGATGCATGATATCTTGGACGCACAGTGGGCATATGAGAATCACAAAGACGAATCTTACATCCGTAGAGTTATAAAACCCCTAGAGGGCTTATTAATAGCACATAAGAGAATCTTTATCAAAGACAGTGCTGTGAATGCAGTGTGCTATGGTGCAAAGGTTTTGTTACCTGGTATATTAAGGTATGAAGATGGTATAGAGATAGATCAAGAAATTGTCATTGTCACTACAAAGGGAGAGGCTGTAGCTTTAGCAATTGCTCTTATGACCACATCAACTATGGCGTCATGTGACCATGGAGTTGCGGCTAAGTTAAAAAGGGTCATAATGGAACGAGACACATACCCAAGAAAATGGGGCTTAGGACCAAAGGCATCCCACAAGAAGCAACTAATATCACAAGGCAAACTCGATAAGCATGGTAAGCCAAATGAAAATACTCCTGCAGAATGGTTAAACAGTTATGTAGATTACAAAGTGAAAAAGGAGACAGAAAATGGTAATGTTGAAACGGAAGAAGGCAGCAGGAAGAGGACAGCGAGCACTGCTAATGCCGACGATCTGAATAACTCAACGGAAATCAAGTCTGAGAAAAAGAAGAAGAAGAAGAAGCGTGACTTGGATGCGACTGCTGATGGTGACACAACGACAGAGGCAGCAAATGTGACGGCAGAAGGAGGTGATGACTCTGTACGTAAAGAAAAGAAAAAGAAGAAGAAGAAAGACAAAGAACAGGAAAGAGCAGAGGAATGAAATATAGACATAGTATATGAAATATACGGAGTAATTAACAGTTTTGATATTTTGTCACTATGTGTGAGACAATTAAGAATGAAATGATTTTAGGAATGGTTTAAGTGAGAGATTTTAAGAGAAATATTTGACTACAAGAAACATATTCCAGTGTACTATAAAAATAATCAATTTGTATTACTTGAACATTACTAATCTGGTTTACTTGCCAATAAAAGTTGGTTTAACTGAAAACATACAGTTCTATAATGTTTATAACTGTCTGTTTCATCTGTATGTATGATAAAAGAATATAATTTTATATACATAAGTATTTTTTTATTTTATTTAACAAGAAGGTTTAGAGAGATTTTTGTCGAAGAAAACTTTTTGTAATCCCATTCCTAATAATTTGAAATACTTAAGCCACTTCTTTTTTTTTATAGACTTGTAAATACGGGTTCCAATTGTATGTGTTGTATGTAAAACATGTCTCTTTACAAAATAATAGAATGCAAATTGTAGTTAAAAAAATATGATTACTGATACTTCCAAAATAAATTTAAGAGTTTTAATTTAAAGAAACATTTACTAGAAGAAATACCACATGGGCCAGGCCGACTCAGGATTCTTTTGATTTAAATATGTAGAAGTTAAATGTTTAAAAAAATTAAAATTAAACTAAAAATATCTCAGAGTTTTGTAATCATTTTGACTTGAAAGTTTATTTGGATATTAATAAAGATGAAAAATAACAAGATAAAACCCTGGAAATGCAAGTTATTGTATTGAAAATCCATATCAGTTTAATTTTGAGAGACATTAGTCACTTGTGCTCAGTGCATCAATGCCTATTAATATTGTCTATTTTGAGCTAATTAAACGCATATTATAATTTTACTGTAATCCTTACATATATTTCGGTATTTAAATTATTTGTATCGGCAAAAAAACGGAAATTGTGTCGATTCTGGTATGTTTCCCTAGACTGAAAACTAAAAACATAAGTCTCTCCTTTTCATTCTTCATAGAGGAGGAAAAGGATACACTGTTTTCAAATTTAAACTTAGGTTTAGAGAATCATGCCAAAATCGATACCATTTGAGTCAACATAGAAACAAATATTTTTCATTGTCATGGTTCTCTAGATATGCCACTAGGTGGCGCTGTATTACACACCTTTTATTGGCGGCTTTAGTTTTTTAATACGCTGTAGACAAACTTACCACATTTTATCAGGCTTTTTAGAGTAATACGAGGAACCAGGATTTTAAATTTAATTTCCTTCCCGGCTAGAGTATGAAAAAACAGACAGTAACTATCAACGGAATCTGAAAAGTTATGTTTAGCAAAATTAAACTTACCATTTGCGTTCTATTACATTGTAAATAGTTTTAAGTTTAAATCAACTTTGTATTGTTTCTTTAATTGCTGGATACAAGCAAGTTATATTTTGTTAAGTTTGCTAGGAACACATTTATAGTTATAGTATGGCAAATGTGTATGTATTTGTCACCTGTCTGTGACACATGTGAGTTGAGTTCATAGTAATAAAATTTTGTTCTACGCGTTCGTATTTTATAAGTGCAACTGTTGAACTTTTTGAAGTCAACATTAAAATGTACAAAAGAAATGGTGTTATTATTTCTAGAGTTATAAGATTACCTATTTTCCTATTTATAATATAGTCGTGAGTTATTTCTGAAAACGGGTAGTTTGTAGTGTAGGTGTAATCTAATCTAATGGCGACTTCTTCGAGTTGTACAGACCATGCATCAAGGATTTCGCTCGTACAGCATCCACAACTCCTATTTCTCAATCTGTCAAAATTTATTGGCATAATATTCAGTACTGTTAGAATAAATTATTAGAATAACTACAATATCATGTTACACCTTCCAAAGTGCGAGCTCGAGATAATAAGTTTTTGGTAACCCATCCTATATTCGGTCATTGGGAAAGTTGCTTCACTTTCACGATCGCAGACTGAACGCACTGACTGAGCTCCTCTCCAGTGCAACATAGCATTTCATAAAAAGAATAGGTACTGTAGCGTATAAATTAAGGCGGTGTCGGATCGGCTTGTTGTCTAATATCACGTACCTATCCAAAACCTTACATAAGTGTTTTTAAAGTTCTTGAATACCGTAGAAGCAGCAAAGGAGATTGCTCAAATTGGCCCAAATGCACAAAAATATTGACATACACGGTAATTCTTGGCGTAATTTATAATTTAATTTACAGTCATTAGATTTCAACGGACACCTTTGTATAATATCATCATCAGCCTATTAATGACCCCGATGCTGGGGCCTTCCCTATGGATGGAATAGGGAGATTGGGCCATATAAGTATTCAACATTTCAAAATATACAACTCTGAGGTCACTACCACACACGTGAAACATAACGTAGAAAGAATTTCCACAAAACTAGCTACGATTGTATAAAAATTATATAAAAATTGATTGCATAATATATTTACTTTAAAAAGGACTTTTAATTTACCGGTTTGGCAAACATACGAATAATTTTTAATGGCTATGGCTATCGAAGTTGTGTATACAGGGTGTTTGGAAGATGAGTGCAAAGCTTTAAAGGAAAGCTAACAGAGATCATTTAGAAACATTTGAGCCATACTTGTCATAGACGAAGACTGACCATTTTATTTTTAAGAATTTTTAACGATTTTAAAGAAAAAAACCTAAAAGTACACAGTTAGTTCAAATAATGGCTAACTGACATAATAAATGAATTCTTTTTGAATTTATTTCATAAAACAAATGTGAAAGCAAACTAAGAAAAAGAGTTTAAAACATCTGTATCAGGAAACAATTTTTTTACAGATATTTAAAATTATCGTAAATTTTTAAAATGGTAAAAAGCTGTTTATCTTAGGCTTACAAAAAAAACACGGAGGGTGTTTTATTTGTTCAAAGCTTTTGAAAAACATGTTCAGTTATTGTACTTTCTTTTGAGGTATTGTTTATGCAAATTGGTTAGAAATTGTTGAAACTAAGACCAGAAATCCTAATTGAGGAAGATTTTTTTAAATTTAAGATGAATAAATTAAAACAAAATTTAAACTGAAATCACTTATTTTTCGTGTTAAAAATGTTCGCTGCGATTTCTAACATACGCAAGGGCCCGTTTTCTTACGTCAACCACCATATCGCATTCTTTTAACCTTCTCCGAACAGTTCGAGTGCTCACAGATACTCCTTGGAAGTCGCGAATTTGTTTTTGTATCTCAATATAGGTAAGGTGACGATTTCTTAAGCTGGTCGTCACGATGAATCGATCCCGCCTTTCAGTTGTGACCCGAGATCGTGGCCTTCCTTGGCGACGAACAAAGCCGCCAGTCTCTAGGTACCTCTGATAAACATTTCGGACCGCAGATCGACTTAAATTAAGTTGAGCACTCACGTTTCTTTGGCTGTGTCCAGCCTGAATAAGTGCCACAGCTTGGGCGGCGACTTCAGGTGAAGTATCCATAGATTATTGATAGAACCTCACCTTAATGTTAAGAATAAGTAATGTTTGTTGCAAAACCAAAGATATCAATCACTTTTTCAAGAATTAAATCCAAGTAAACCAATAAAACCAAGTTTTCTTAGTATTCGATTGTTTGATATTAACAAACAGGCTCCAAATTGTCTTTTGTTTCTTTAAATTCTGTGTACAAAATTCAAAAAAAGACTATTGAATGAAATTCTGAATGTGCCAGGTTCAAAACTGCATAAAAACTTTTTGCTCGACCTAATATAAAATTTTAGCTAGGACCAAACGAAACTGAAAATACAAGGTGGGCCAATAGATGTGTCCAGAAGTGTATAATCATTTGAGTATTCATTGGTACATAACACATAACATTTCATCTTCTGAATTCTAAAGAAAAGTTTACTAGAAAAAAAATCCACGTGGACCAGGCAACGGACGGGTCTCGAACCCGCACCCTTCGCAATCCTGGCGAATGCACTGATCATTATGCTACCACGGCTCTATTAGCTGCGTCGAAATTTTCCTAGCCTTAAGCTGCAAGGCAGCGCCATCTCTTCGCATTGCAGGTAACCCACAATGTCAAATGAATACTTTTTCAAGTATTAAACATTTGAAAGAAGAAATAGCAATTATAGTTATGTTTTTATTTATTTTTAAGCATTTAACTGCTAGATGTTTAAAAAAGAAAAGTTTACTAGAAAAAATCCACGCGGACCAGGCAGCGGACGGGACTCGAACCCGCACCCTTCGCAATCCGGGCGAATGCACTGACCGTTATGCTACCACGGCCCTATTAGCCGCGTCGAAATTTTCCTAGCCTTAAGCTGCAAGGCAGCGCCATCTCTTCGCATTGTAGGTAACCCACAATGTCAAATGAATACTTTTTCAAGTATTAAACATTTGAAAGAAGAAAAAGCAATTACAGTTATGTATTTATTTATTTTTAAGCATTTAACCGCTAGATGTTTAAATCTAAAGAAAAGTTTACTAGAAAGAAAATCCATGCGGACCAGGCAGCGGCCGGGACTCGAACCCGCACCCTTCGCAATCCGGGCGAATTCACTGACCATTATGCTACCACCATTATGCTACCACGGCCCTATTCTATCTTCTATCTTCTGCATTGGAAAAATGGAGGACTCTATGTATTTGAATTATTGTAATTATCAAAATTTAGAAGGGTAAAGTTCTCATTTCTTTTATAATCATTTATTAAGTAGTCATTGGTACATAAAACAGGTACATAATTTAATTATTTTCTGTATTAAACAAGTTAACAGTTTTTAATTCATTCAGTCATATTGTGATGAATGGTTAAATAATTTAAAGTTTACGCGCCGTTTTTGGCCATATCTCAAAAGTTGGTTTTGTGATTTAGCCGCATTTTAGCTTGAGGACGGCAGATTAGAACAAAACAAAGGAGCGCGAAACAATCACGTCAGTACAAGTTTTTGGCGCTAAAATACAGCCGAATACTTTTGCCTAATATTCGGCTATTCGCCGAATATTCGGTATACTGCCGATACTACCTCTTCTGAGGGATTTTTTTTTTACTTAAGATTGTTATGGGAATCAATGGGTTGACTGATTCCGCGCAACTTGTGTTCTTTAAATTTTTACTGAAAGTCAATACTTTTCGACTTATTCGAAAGTAATTTTTCAACAAGAATAACCACGTTTTCAGACGATTTTTCATGAATAACTGTAAATAAGTATATTGTGGAAAAATATATTGGTGTCGTTTCTGACATGATTCTCAAAACTTAAAACTAAATTTAACTCTCCTTTTTATTCTGTATAGCGAATGACAAGGATACACTGATGTCAAATTTAATTTTAGGTTTATAGAATCATATCAGAATCGACACATTGTCTTCTCTGGCGTGAATCGGAAGTGAAAACAATCGGGAAAATATTTTTATATGCAAGAGTGACAACTTGGAAGATAATTTCCAGGTATCGATTGGGGGAATAGGACGAGACGCGTGTACTGGAATAATCTAAAATAACCACATGTTCTTGTTTTATAATATTTTTTAATTTGTATTAAATTCAATAATGACGTGGTACTCTGCGTTTACTTTCATCACTACCTATTTAATGTTGTAATTTTTTTCCTACCGAGTAAATAAAATTTGTGTTGAGATTTCTTGCTATTAGGTTTATTTTCAGCAATTTTGTTTATCTCCATTTAACTAAAACTATAATTAGCTAATATAATCATGTCAAATGGACATATTTTTTGTCGTTTTTCTATGGATTAAATCTAGTTTTAGTCAAATCGAAATTTAGTCATGTTGCTGTAAGTGGATCTGACTCACGAAGTATAAAATATATAAAATTTTGGAGTACCTACCCACGAAGCATTATTTTTTATCGATATCTGTTAATGTACACCACTATTGTTATCGATATCAGGTAAGGTACATTACTATTCTGACATTTCCTACGTATGTTGGTAGTATATCTAAATACAATTTAAAAAAAGGGGCTATTATGGAAGTTTTGACTCATATAGATTACTTGCTCCTATGCACACTAGTAGATGACGTTAATTGCATGTCATAAAATATTGACAACCTCAGGGGTCGACAGTAAAGTTTATTTTTTATTCAATTAAATAGAAAAATCCCACACTTCCTTATTAATAAACTAAGAATAAGCTTAGACTAGTAACTCCGTGATTTGTTCGTATCACTCCAGTGCAATTTGTCATTTAATGAACATAGACAAAACATAGAGTAAATAATACAAGCTTAGATAGACTTCGTTTATTAATATGGGGGATAGCGATTAGGTCAGTGTTTCCTAACCTTTCCTATACTGCTACCCTTGTAACCTATTAGGAAAACAGATTTTACCCCGACTTAGAAATTCCAATTTGGTCGCTACATCTTCGTGTCTAATAATGTCATCATCAGGAGAAAATCTCGCCCCGCTTCCCACACTCAGCACCTCGCGGGCTCGCTAGCAAGAAGGAGCGCATGCTCTATTTAGTAGTATTATTATATAGTATTTTCTTATTATTTAGATTTGACCAAATAATTAGGTGCTTTGTTACCCCCGAAGTATGGCTGATTTACTTCCGGAGGGGTAATCACCCCCAGGTTCGGAACCCAGGGATTAGGTAATTACTAATGATGGAATGGTAGCTCTAGAAAAACTATGAATGCGCCAACTGCTTACATGTATTTTCCCTCAAAACCTATCAAGGGATGAGGCATTTTTATAGATCGGTTTAAAAGTCATTGAGAATTTGATAGTCTAATCCAACTGTAAATAATATGATAGTATCGGTGAAAAATAAAAGCAAAGAAATTTATTTACAAGTGGTTTTATTTAATCGAAAACTTATTTCGTAATATTGGAAACAAAAATAAAAGATCTCTATAATATTAAAACATCTTTATCACGACAAATACTAACATGCAATTTTATTTACATATCTTCCATTTACATGTAAATAAGTAAGATTTACCCCTAGTATGAACCAATAATGAATTCGAATAGTTTGCGAGTGCGAAATGTCAATGTAAAATTTTGTATGGAAACTTGAACAAGAGCGCCACATGGACGTAACGAGAACTAAAAATTAATACACATTTGACATGACAATTCGCACTCGCAAACTATTCGAATTCGATATTGGTTCGTGCTAAGGGTAAAGATATAAGTTTAAGTAATTATTATTTGAAAAATCGTAATTCAATGTATTCCATTATTTATAGTATTTCATGGTGTTTCTGTGATAGATATTTAATTAATGTCTTCTGTATCTGTAATTTATTAATATTTTTTCTGAGTTTATAACACCATTAGATTTAAGTACCTAGTTAGTTAGTTTAAAAGATTGGTAACCACAATTCACGATTTAAGCTTCCCCTTATTATACATACAGTTTAGGCTTTATAATATCGATCTATTGGTTATCGACAACGAATACACCTACACTCAACACAAAAACATATATCACATCACACAACCAGATTTTTGATACAATTTAAACTCCTTCCTTAGTCAAACTAAGAACGAAGTTCCTTTTCACGAAATACTAACTTTGTGGGTGTTTTAAAACTTCCATAACTGGACCTAAGTGTCGCCGCACACGGGCCACACGCCACAGCCACAAACGCCGCCACGAGAAGCTAGAAGCGGCTACTAAAGTGGTTGAAGCGCGCGACAGCGGCCGACTAAGGTAAGAGAGAGAGGGGTGAGGTATCGCGCGAGTGACATGTGGCGGCGTTTTGTATCGGCGCATTAAGTGGCCGGTGCGGGCCACAAGCGTAGCGTGTGGCGGCCACCGGCGTATCGTGTGTGGCGAGTCCATATAAAATGTATGAACACTACAAGAAATGGTGGTGGCGTTTTGTGGTTGTGGTCGGTGGCCCGTGTGCAGCGACACTAACAGTCGTATTTAGAAACATCAAATTAATTTAACACTTCATGAAGTCATGTCTACTGTTGTCGCAAAAAGTGACAGCATCAACTTTAGTGCAACTTAAATGTTAATTGACTTCCTGGGGGCCAATCGCCTAACTGGATTGCTTTGGAAAACGCTATCGCTTACGATTTCATTTTGTTATTTCTAGCCCCCTGAGGTTTTCAAATGCCTCGCGCTCTTTTTTTTTCTTTTGCATTGGTAATAACAATGTTAAAGAAAACGAGCGTGAGGTATTTCGGCGGTAAGAAATAACAAAATGAAATCGTAAGCGATAGCGTTTTCCAAAGCAATCCAGTTAGACGATTGGCCCCCTGGAGTGCGGCCGCAAAACGCTTACAATAGAGCTTCTTCGTTCCTAATAAGTTCGTATTTGAAATGCATTAAACATTATCCAACAGACATAATCAACGACAAACCGTGATTTTTGAGAAAAAAATGTTTTCACAGTTTTACGAATGAAAAATGTTGCCGGGACATATACACAGAATATACGCAATATGTTATATTGAGTGTACATGCAGCGTGTTTGAATGTCAAATTGTGACTAAAGCGAATTATGGTCGTGGACCACAATTTAAGCGGATCACTTTTGAGCCGCGAATGCCGTATCTTCCCTTTTTGTTTTAATCTAAGCCTGAAACTAATACAAAAAGAAACAAAGCCTATAATACTTTCAGTCGCGACTGTAACCCAATTATGAAACACAGATAAAAAAATTAAAAAAGTATACAACTTTGGCACATAATGCCGGGTTGTCATAATGTCCTTTAAATGATTTAATTTGAAATGAGAATTGAAATACATATTTCAAAATTTTCTTAAAGATCCCGTCACGTAAAAAGGTCACTGAGCAATAATAGAGGGGATTATAATTGCTCAGTGACCTTTTTACGTGACGGGATCTTTAAGAAAATTTTGAAATATGTATTTCAATTCTCATTTCAAATTAAATCATTTAAACGAGGCTCGAATGTGTGATAGCAAGGACGTCTCATTACAAAATTACTTCGAAAGAGTACACATTTGGTCACGCAAGAGGTAGTACCAAATGAGTATAACATAGGCCTATTTATAAATAAATCAATATAAAAATATAAAACTGAAGAAGATAGGTTGCATAACTTGCATGTAAAAGGAACACGTGTGCTAAGGAAATTAGAAACAATGGTTACACTGTTACCCATACCATACCACAGACATTATAAACTTCCACGCAAATGAGCCACCTTCTTTGTAGACGCAGATTTAAAAATAAAAATTAAACAAGAATGTGATTGGCATCGAATTTTAAGTTATAATTCCATGGTGGGGACTTTTTGGCGCGATCGGAAAGCGTCACTTTAAGTAGCAGTTTTGTTTTTCTTGTTAGAAATTGTGTTGTGGCGGATGTTAGTGTCTAATACTGGTAGATTATTAACCACTAAGTGTTCGGGAACATGCACAAGTGTTGGCAAGTGAAACAAAATAGCGGAAAGTGTCTTTCGACGTTCCCGCAAGAAGTCCACGGGGAGGTTCCAGTAAATCCCCACACATTTACTGAAACATAGGGAAAGGGGGATTGACTTGACTGCCGCCTTACTTTGACTTGATTTATTACTTTGACCACAAGTGCTATAGAATTGGTAAACATTTTTAACACTTGACATTGGTTAAATGCACAAGCCGTGCGCAGCCATTTAGGAAAAAAACCATGGTGATTTATGCCAGGATTTTTATAAAGAGCAACGTTCGTGGCAAAAATCCCTAGACTGTCTCGGTTTTTTGGTGTAAGATGGTCAAGGATCTCGGCATTTTTGCCAAGTCAAATAACGCTTTAAAGGTTATCGCAAACCAACTGCTGGCAGAAAAAATTGGACGCTACTCCTAGCCTGTAATTCATTTGCGCGAAACATAACAGATGCTAACACCAAATTCAACCAACCTCCGAAGAAATACTTATCGTAGAAGCTGGTTTGGTTAATATGACCTTGGAAGGTTAAAAGTTGCCAAACCAAAAAACAGCGTATGTTCTCGTTAAGCCTTGAGCCATTAACCTAGTTCAAACTTTTAAGTATAGATGGCAGCACAAACTTATTTCTGTAATGCTGCTAAACTATTCCCCAGTTTTGGTAAAAGTTGCCTCTCAAAGTTAAACTAACCGCTTTTGCGGTAAACTTAATTATGTTCCTACTACATAAATTACTACTTACATACAACTACATTTACTTACACCACATTATATTAATATTATTTATAATTATATATTGTCAAAGAGGAACTCTGAGAATTATCGCCTAAATCTTACACCTATATTATGTATTTACTTTTACAGATAGTGCAATCCACGAAAACGCGCCCCACTATTCCTCCTAATCGTTTATAGTAAATCTGTATATAGTTAATATTTGAGTGTTATCGGTACACACTAATTATCTATGATAATAATAAATAATATAATAATTAACTACAGTGGAGCCCCGGTAATCCGGCCCCTGGCTAATGCGGCACCCCCTATAATCCGACATCGTCTATTACATACAAGTATTCGCTAATTCACGATTGAACAAGTTACAACTTGTACGAACCATCACTATTGTGCTCGACGCGTAGGGTATTGTTTTTTTATATTTTATTGTAAAATCTATAGCATTAATGACGTTACTTTTATAATAAAACGTAATCTTTCTATTGTGTTGTTTAATTTACTAAATTTGACATACATAACAAAGTATGATTTGTAATCTTATCATTGGATCTTTAATTTGTCAGATTGCAAGGTCCCCCCTATAGCCTATAACCCCCTATAGTCCGATGTTGTAAAAAACATCGGACTATAGGGGTAAGGCAGTACTCTATAATCCGACAAATTCGATAGTTCGACACTGCCCTGCAAAATGTTTGTCGGACTACCGGGGATCCACTGTAATTATCTTTTTATCACTAGGTAATTATCCTTCAACCAAAAATTGGTGGGCGCATCTTCATGGATTGCACTATCTGTAAAGTATCTAAATAGTAACCTATAATTAAAAGATTTTCTTACAATTTACAATATGTTTAGGAAGATTCAAATAGTTTGTGTGAATTAGTAGATAAGAGTGGGGTACAAACTCGTAGAATACAGGGGGATGTAAGTACTTGTAAGTAAAAGAAATCTTAAGTTTATTTCAGTAAGCCCAACCATATCGTCGCCAAACTCGCAAGCGAAGTTCAGCACGAACCATTTTCGAATTCGAATAGTTTGCAAACCGAAATGTCAATGTCAAATTTTGTATGGAAACTTGAACAGCAGCGCCACAACGGACGTAACGAGAACAAGAAGTCAGCATCTACTCATTCGACATTGGCATTTAGAACTCGCAAACTATTCGAATTCGATTTTGTTTCGTGGTAAGGGTACAGTATCCTTGGCGCCGCAACGGGCGTAACGAGAACTAAATTCTTTTTATACAAAACTTCTTGACATTTTCCGCTTGACGAGATAGAATTCAACTATTTGAATTCGATATTGGTTCGTGCTCTGAGTACACCAATTTAAATGAATACATCAACTTTAAAATTATACAATAATAAATAGAAAACGATAATTTTTATTCATTCGGCCATAATACTATTGCCAATTAATTACATATAATTAACATAATCATACAATTATTATTAACTACAAATTCGTTTTGTGAAGTACTTAAATACAATGCCATATTACAAACTAGGTAAATTGTAAACATAAAAATGAGGTTGGGACTTTAAAATTTCTTATAGTGAATCGCTCATAATATGTAGCTATTATCTTTAAACAAGTCAAAACCAAAATAGGACAGGAATATTTCAATAAATATTCAAAAACAGTTTGATTATATAATAAAACTGTTTTTTAATGACAAATTGTAAACTGAGACAATCATATTATTACTACTCAATTACTGTGTAATGAAGTTAAAGTCACACTGCAAAGAAACTCGCTTAATTAAGTAATCTGTGGTAGTACTTACTCAACTGCCCCCCCTTGGCGACGCCCTTAGGGTATCACTACATTTCCACAGGTACACAAATAGATATGGACATATGAAACAGGTATTATTATTTTGGTTACATTAAAATCACAATTTACAAATTTGAAAAAGTCTATTGTTACATGCATGTCAAAGTAGATTATAAATTAATTATAAAATTGATAAGCCATAAAATTGTCATACTAATAGTCAGAATTTAAATGGAAAAATAAGCAAAATGTCTAGTCACCAAATAGTCGCATTTCTTGCGATACAACCAATGTGATCTTGCTGCAATACGTCTTTATTAGGTAATATTCTTAAGTCCATATTATTCAACGAACACGTAGCAACTCTGTTGTAAGTAAAATGTTAATAAAGAATAAGTTGTAAATTGGCATTCCTCCGAATATTGTCACGAATATATTTTTACAACGATACTTACGAGTCTCTTAAAACCTAAATATCAATGTCGCACGAAATTACTTGTGTTCTGATAAGTTCAACTTTAACTTATGGCGGACGCTAGGTAGGATTCTACTAAAAATATATTAAGATCTTTTGCCTTCAAAAAAGTTGAATTTAACGAAAACATTGTCGTTGTGATGTTTAAAAACCTTTTGGTGAAGATAACAACGAGCAGAAGATAATATTATTAACTATCGCGGCGGAATTTCGTGAATGCAAATTTGCCTTTTAAGCGAGAATTCTTGCAAGTAGAGGAACCTGTAGTAATGCTGACCCTCCTTAAATGATTGGCGAAATACTGAACCCGATACCTTTTTATTATTTTTTGATGGCAATTCTTTAATCTTCAGTAGAAATTTGAGTTATGCAAATGGCATTTTTTTTCAACAAAGTTTAATTCCCAGATGCTACAAAAAGTAAGTCAACTTTATTAAAGCCATTGAAGGATAATTATATTATTAAACAGGTGTTTTTCTAACTTAATATTTCATTTTGTCGACATCATTAGTAAGATTTAACTTAAAGTAGTTAGATGAAAATTGTATATAACAGAGTTTCACCTAAACTGCAAAAATACATCAAAGTTTTGATGTGCCATTCTGTTCTATAATCTCTAGTATACCAAACATGAGCATTTTAAAGTCGTTTCATTTTGATACTTAAACCCTATTTAATAACATTGTGGAACTGTATTTAATAGAAAAGTAATATTGGTTTACTACAGACAAAATAAAAGAAGAATTCCGCTTAAAGGACCAATCATTATATAGTCTACCCTAGTGTAATCTTAACCTTACATGCCACCATCACCTCAAGGTCTTATGACGTCACAGAAGCATCTGTCATTTACAACATAAAAAACTTTTAGGTAAATAAGTACTTAGGTACGACTCAAAACACGTTTCTTACTAGTTAATTTATTTTTTTATAGAAAAACAAATTTTACAACTATAATTTTACACAATACTTACTACAAAATGTTTTTGTCAGTCGCTCCTATAACAAAAAAATATTGAATTGGGTGTCGGAGATTCAAATTTTTAGTGCTCTATGTTATGTACTTACGCTTATCCTTCAGTAAAGTTAAGTACGCTCCTTCAGTTGCACATACAAATATATATATGTGTATTTTTTGAGTCTGTATGCTGTTTGTCGCAGATGACCTTTACAGCGTCACCGGGTTTGGGGACGGCGAGATCCTAAGGGGACCTTAAGCCGATTGGCGAGTTCCTCTAGAGGTATTCCAGGCGGATGGCATCTCCCCACGGGGGGAGTCTCCTCTCCGTCTGGAGCCTCTAGACCACTGGAACCTGAGAGGATCGGCTCAACTAGAGGGCGTCCCAGAGACTCGAACCTCGGCTCTAGTTAGTTCCGTTGTCGTGGGGTCGCCCCAATTTATCGAGTCCCAGAACTTCTTTTATAGCGTGATTACACTTGGTCGCTAGCCTGAATACGAGTGCCAATGGAATTTGGGTAAACGGTTAAGTGTAAATGAACGGAGTCGAGTACGCGAGTCGTGTTTATCTGACACCGTCTTCCAGCCTGTATTCCCGTGTAAATATTGCTTCGGGTGACTCATTAACAGCCTAGCCTAGTCCACTGCTGGGCATAGGTCTCTCCAAATGCACGCCACTGAGATCGATCTTGGGCTACTCACATCCAGCTCCTGCTAGCTACCTTGCGCAAATCGTCACTCCATCGTGCCTGAAGACGTCCTACACTACGTTTGCCTAGATGCGGTCTCCACTCCAGAACTCGTCTACCGCAACGGTTATCGGTTCTTCGGCAAATATGGCCAGTCCACTGCCACTTTAACTTGCTAATCCGGTGGTCTATGTGGATAACTCAAGTTCTTTGTCGGATTACCTCATTTCTGATGCGATCCTTCAGAGAAACGCCGAGCATAGCCCTTTCCATAGCGCGCTGAGCGACTTTGAACTTGTGGACCAGCCGTACCGTCAGTGTCCACGTCTCGGCTCCGTATGTCATCACAGGTAGGACGCACTGATTGAAGACTTTCGTCTTTAAGCACTGTGGGTGCCTGAATTCGAGTAATGTCTTTCATGCACCCGAATTCGGGCTCACGACCAAATGTAATTCGGCATTATGCGTGTCAAATTATCGCCAGTGTAGCTATCGTCTAGCCTTTATAGATATGCAGCCCGATAATTATCGGGATAGAACTAATTCAAGTTTTGAACGAAAATTTTAGCCCATTTAGTACCAAAGCCGAAGCTTCGCGCAGGTATGGAGAAGACTTTAGACCAAGGAAGTTATATACCTTAAGGTAACTATGTAACATGTTTGTTTTATATATAGAACACTATATATACAAAGACGAATAAATGTGGAAGAAGATTTTTTGTCCATTTCTATTTTTTTTTACAATACGTACCTAAAGTTTTATTTACATTCAGAAGAATTTACATGTTCAAGACGCCTAAAAAATATGTTACAATATAAGGCGTAGTTATTGCTTTTCAATTTATAATATTTAATAAAATCGAAAAGTAATACATAAAAACATCTTAAAAAGCTTCTGATTTTTGCTTTGTCCTTTTATTTTATTTTATTAAATATGCAAGGCAATCTAATACCACTGCGTAGTGTATCGTTAGCGTATCTAAGCTATTATGGCCGCCTGATTTAACATCAGATGATTGCCGCCCTCTTAACAAAAAAATAATAATAAACGTTTGAATATTACGCTATTTAAATTTATTGATAGGAAACGAATGATTGAAATTAGTTAGAATAATGCAAACAATTTTAGGGCCCGCGTCTTAAACAACTACTTATTAAAGACCACCAGAATTAGAAATATTGCCAATGTACAAAAAAGAAATTCCTTTCCCCAGATTAACATCGAATATTTCCAGAATTGTAACACCCACCAAGATATTAAGACAAAATCTTTTGAACAGAATAAGGTAGTCGTACCAATGACTGACAAGAACGAATGATTGACATTTTCTTCCATGATCAATGAAAACAAGAAAATCCAACTCATTACTAAATATGGCAACACTGAGCTAAAGACGCTCGGTGTTGCCACATTTAGCAGCGGGACTTTCATAAAAAAAGCGCTGCTCATGGCATGGCTACTATCGGTGCCAATACCTTACTTACTTACGTATTTTTTTTTACTCGGATATTAATAATGATTTTTGCTATTTATAAAAAATAATAATGAGAATTAAGTCACTTGTTTATTCACAGAAATATATAATGTACTATTACCTATTTTTATAAGGCATTCAGAAGTCAATTGGTTACAGATTTAGTTGTTTAATAAGCGGTGGAGAAACATTCACACATCTAACTGTTTCTCACGGCATACGCCCCACAAAACTTAGTTGGCAAGGTGTTCTATGGTGTAAAATTATAATTAAAAGCTCTTTACCACAATTTATCATGCCAAACATGTCAAAAAAGTAACCTGTTATCAGAAAATTTTCATGTACAATTTTAATACGACATTTTCATTACGAGCTCTTAAATTAAATAGGTATAGGTACTGTTTTCTCGAAAATGTGTTGAAATAAGTTGTATGACATTCGTGTGGAATTGGAATTTACAAACTCGTGACTATAGTAAGCCCTCGACTTTGTCTCGTTAGGCTTACATTCGTCTACTCGTTTGTAATAACCAGCTTACCGCACTAATATCAAAAATAACTATTCCACGTTACAACACTGAATAAGTCTGCACAAACGGTAACTTAATCCTTGAAATTATCTTAATAGGACAATGTCTTCACCAACTTTTTAATGCTACTTCTGAGGTCCACACCTTCTTCGGAGACCGGATGTGAACCAACTATTACAGACCACAGAATTGGCGAGTTTGTTAATCGTCTTATTAGTGTCGCCCCAGAACACATTCTAAGTAAGTTTTCACGTATAGTAAATAAGTCCTTGTTGCGCTTCTAATAAGGCATGTTGTCCCGCAAATAAGCCTGCTTTGTGTAGCCCCTCCGCAGACATTTACCCCACCAGGAGCGCTGGGTGCAGATCTTAACCGGCTTCAGGACAAAACACTTGGTCTGCACTACGTTGAAGAACAGCTTGCCCACCATGTTGGAGACGGATGTGTCAGCGAGCTTCAGACACGCTCGGAACCTGAAAGTCAAATGGGTGTATCATTACTTTGATTATGGTTATATTCTATGTTTTATAGTTGAAGATACGTCATTCACGCTTCTAATTTGGCAATACGAAAGTTAGGTAATTGCCCGACTTGCATTCAGATGGGCACGCTCTCTCGCCGCGGCAACACTTCGCTACAACGCGTATATCTTTTACGTTTTTCCAGATAAAAAGCCCTATCTAAACAAATTACACGCGATCTATTAGAGACGAGGAAATCCAGTCATTTCATTCGTAAACACAGTTTTAAAGAAATGAATGTAAAAATATTTAGTGATACTTATTTTGACAGTTGCTGTCACCGTTGACACGTGGAGGCTAAAGAGCGAGATGTAATCTTCTTTATGCATGAGAGTGAAAGAGACTTCTTTAGTGCGCTCTATTGGCGGCTGTTGCCAACGTAAGTTGTTGTAAAATGAAAAACAAGAATATTTTTTTTCAAATTTGGAACTAATTTTGATTATGAAACTTTGTGGGCAAAACGTCAAAACGGCCATCATATCGTGCAGCCACTATACCTATCAAACTAAATACAATAATTTGAAACAAGAATTGCATGGATAAACAATGACGAGACTGAAATTTACTAGAAAATACTCTCGGATTAAAGATAATAATATAAGTAGAATCATATAAAGAGCAAATAATTCAAAAAATGTGCCGACTCAAATGGTATTATTGCTTTTTCCCATACATTCACCGTCGTTAAAACTATGCGAGTATGTTACATCTATAAAATTGGATTTCGGGTGAAATGAAAAGGTTTTGTAACTTAAGCAGCAATAATATCTTTGAGGCGAAAAAAGCGTTTGAGAAAAATATAATTATAGGCCTTTTAACTACATAATATTGGTGTCGATTCTGGTATGATTCTGTAAACCTACAACTAAATTTGACAGCAGTGTATCTTTGTTATTATATATACAGATTGAAAATGAGAGACTGATGTTAAATTTAGTTTTAAGTCTAAAGAATCATGTCAGAATCGACACCATTCTCTAAATTTGGAAATACATACCTACATAATAAATAATATGCCAACTGAATTCAAGAATTAACGCCAAAAATTTTAAATTAGGTTTCGTTATTATCTGTCGTCTCGGAGCTCGATAGCGCAGGTGGTTAGCACGTTCGGCCTGCGATCTTGAAAGTCAGGCAGCTCTCTCAATGGTTGGTTATTGGATGGGTGACCGAAAATTTATTATCTCGAGCTTTTCCGTGCTTCGGAAGGCATGTTAAGTCGTTGAGCCCGCGTTGTGGGTCATGTCCCAATCTCCCTATTCCATCCATATGGAAGGCCTGTGCCACTGCAGTGGAGACATTAATAGGATGATGATGATCTCTCGATGATTCAGAAATATCTAAACTAGATCATTTGAATCATAAATGATCTACATAGGCTATTCCAAAACCGATCTTGTGAATTGCCAATATAAAACCTATGCTATGTGTTCTTAATAAAATCCTCAAATATCTCAGGCATCATAAAAAAATACTTACCTTTTCAGCCTACGTTAGCATTACCGTGTTAAAGCCCCCTTAAATTTAATAATATTTCCGGTATAATATTTAAATTGTCCGATTTACTGCCGGGCACAGCGCGTTCCCGCTATTTTTATGGTGCCTAGTCGTTAAATGGCGCGAACTACTCACACAAGTGACGCAATAAAGCGAGTGAAGATGCTTCGATTTTTATTTACACCACACTGCCGTGAACAATGTAAAATGCATATGAGTAAATTTTATGATAATTGGCCTAAAACTATTTTTTTTGCTTATGTACTTTCATGTTGTTGAAACAACATAATGCTGTCAATTCTGGCATGATTCTCTAAACCTAAACATATATTTGAAAACAGTGCATTCTTGTCATTCTCTATACAGAATAAAAAGAGAGAGAGACTGACGTTAAATTTAGTTTTAAGTTTAGACAATCATGCTGGTATCGAAACTACAGTTATTATTAATTTTTACTACCTATGTAATGTCTTTTTTTGTGTGCTAAATGTTTTAAGTACTAAGAAAATGTCCCGATTTTTAGGGAACTTCTCTTGATCTAGGTATATTTTAATTTATCTTGGAAAATGTGTGTAAATTTATCTGATGTTTTATATATTAAATGATCATTTATATTTAGGTAGACGAATGGAAAGGTTAATAAAACGAAAATGTTAGACTCCCTTACAACTTGCAACCTTCATATTTTGCAACCCTGCGGTAAACATAGGTGCAATATTTATGCATTACATTGTTAAAAATAATATCACTTGAAAGTGACAAAACCACTGATAAAACATTATAAAACTAACAGCAAAGTCGAAAATACTTAAGAAACAAAATTGCATATTTAAAAAAAATAGGAAAACAAAGATGGCGTTTGCAATAAATGGCGCGAACGCCATTACCGCAATCGGCTGTCAAACGCACGCCTGGTGGGAGCCATCGAGGGCACTTACCGCTGCATCCTCTAAAATATTCCCCTATAAAACACGTAATGCACTAGAACAAGAGGTCGCCGGAACAGACAGAGATTAAGGAGGTTTGCCGCATTTCTGCGCGCGATTTTAGATTGCATTCCGATAACATTCAAGTCATCTTCATGTGTGCAGTTTAGTATTGAAAGGAATTTAGGAAACGCAGGGAATTTATTAGTTTAGTTTTTGTAATAATTTCTATGAGTAAACAAGTTGGATCAAAATGAGACTTGACTATATTTCCATTAATTATATCCGTTTCATTAATATGTTTTATATAAAATACGCGCCCTTATGTAATTTCTGTTATGTTAGTCCCTAGTTGTTTTATTTTTTTAGACATTATTGTTAATCACAACAGATTACACCTTAAGACCAACAAATCCTAAATCTTAAACCTTCTAATTGCGCGGCACCAGTTGTTTTTTCGCGCCCTCCCGCCCCGCCGCTTCGTAGAAAAAGGGCGGCAAAGGAAAATCATAGTGCCAATGCTGCCACGAACGTTTGATCGGACTGACCGGACCGGGCGGTGGATTACTGGCAGCTGACAAAGCTTTACTTATTTCGCACTTAACGAGCCCACAGGTCCTACGGTTCTACTCTTTGTATGCACTTAAGCTGGCGCAGAGTAACTTGATACAGAGATAGCTCATAATCGTAGTTAATGTTAAACCTTTCTTCGACTTGCAGTCCCAAAGTACAAATGTCAAAGATTGTATTTTTGTATGGGTAAAAAATGTTGAACTCGCGTCAGGTTAAACACGTGGGCTGATCGCATCATGACACACAATAAAATTGGAAAGGTTGTTGACTTTCAATATATTGTACGAAATAAAATACGATAAAATAAAATATTACTAAGTCCCTATCTAGGACGTCCACGTGGCAGATTTATTGCGAAGAAAATGCATTTTTTTACAATAGATGTCGCTAGGTGCGCTTAAAAGTGATTCATATAAGTTGATTTCTTTACAATAGATGTCGCTAAATGCGCTTAAACGTGATTCATGTAAGTTGATTTTTTTGAGAGATAAACTTTTTTAATGTAATATAAATTGTCATGTTTGTGTACGATAGCGCAATAAATAAATATTGTATTCTACCACATACATGATAGTACTTTTATACTGATAATTAAAGCAATTCGTGCAAAATTATTCCCGAACCATTCCAAAATACTTATCAAAAATGCACAACGTTAATATTCAAGTTTTTTTTATAGGTAGGTCCGACAAATGACTCCACCCTATCTGATGTTAAGTGACGGTGAGGTCCAGACGCGAAGAGAGCTGATACAGCATTTCTACCTGCCACACAAGTCATCCTCACCCTGCCGGCCTGCATGTTGATTCTTCACACCTCTTTTAAAAGATCCTAGGTTATAAGAGGGTGGGAACACGTGAGCGGGCAGAGCATTCCATTAACGGATAGTGCGACAAAGAAATGAATCACCAAACTTTTTTGTACGCGTTGGATTAGCCAAAGGTATCTTCTATAAAACTTTAGCACATCACTTTGCTCTACTGTCAGTGACTTTCGCAGATTACGCGATATAAAGTTATTTTTGATATGTTTTACACATTATCGAAGTTTTCATGCGGAACCCTAACTTTTTGAAAATACACTTTAGCCTATATAAGTCAGTGATAATGTAGCATTCAAATGGAGAAATAATTTTTAAAATCGGTCCAGTACTTTTTAAGCTAATTCGTTACCAACATACTTACATACAAATCTTTCCTCTTTAAAATATTAAGTATAGATTTAAAAGATATTCTTTTATATTAGTTTTTTTCCTCTCTTCATTGCTATTGTAACAACAATGTATAGATTTTAACTGTCCGAAGGTATTGTACTACTTTTTTATAAGGGTGAATGCTGTTGGTCGCAGATGACCTTTACAGCGTCACCGGGTTTGGGGAAGGCGAGATCCTTAGGGGACCTCAAGTCGAGAATTGGCGAGTACCTCTAGAGGTATTCCAGGCGGATGGCATCTCGCCACGGGGGGAGTTTCCTCTTCATCTGGAGCCTCTAGACCACTCGAACCTGAGGGGATCGTACTACTCGTGGAAGTCATGCTATCTGTGATTGGGGCTAGTGACCTGTAGCACAGGTTTCTATTGCTGAAACCTATTTCAAGCACCAGTTCATCACATTAAGAGGAACTAGACCATTGTTATCGTAAAATTAGAAAAACTATGGAGCTCTGTTGAAATGGATTTTTTTTATTTGATTGATTTTTTATACGATTTTTTATTTAGTCTTCAAAAAGGACAACACATTAAGAAATTAAAAAAAAAAATAAGGAAAATGAAGTTGGGTATTGAACTTAAATCAAACTTCGCAGATGAAGCACGAGCAGTACTAAATTTATGTTTTTTTTATCTTGTTTGTTTCTAAATATAAACTGAAGGTGCTTAATAATACCTATCAGATAAGAAATCGATAGTAAACATCGAGAGACAAAAGAATGTAGAAAGCTATGTTTTATATTTATAG